CTCTATTTATCTTTCCGTCTCTCCCGCACTGTCTTCGCCGCTCTTTACCTATTTATGTCTCTGAGTATGTCTCTATCCCTCTCTCTCGTTTTGCCAATGCAATGTAATGAAGAATTTTTTTTTATTTCTTTAGTAAATGGTTTTTATTTATAAATTATTAATTTTATTCTATCAGAACTTATGCGCTTAGGCGTATTTTTACTTAATAATATTTTTAGATGTATATTTCTGTACATTTTAATGTACGTTTTTTTTATAAAACTTCTATGGGGTTCTCCTTAAACTCTTCCTTAATGGGTATAAAATGTTATCCTTTCACGGTAGCGACAACATTTGCTGCTTGCTGAGCTACTTCTAGACCTTTCACGGTGGCATCTCGGGTATTTTGTCCAACACGTTCCTAATTTAATTGAAATTTAATTGTTTCACGTTTAAAATTTGCATATAAAAATTTAAAAAATATTTCTCTTACAATTTTTTTGCCGATTTTCTTTAACCAACCAGCTTCACTTTGACTGACGGAGAGGACGAATATTAAGGCAATGAATACGAAAATTTTATAAAAATTCATTCTGAAATTGTTTGAGTTTTTTTTAGATTAATAAAAATAACAGTTCACTTGAGTAATGTTCTGCTTTGTGAATGCAACTGATAGTCAGATTATTGCTCTTTTGCTTTATATACAATGCAAACCTTTTCTAAAATGTGATGCTTGTAGAAAAACATACCCTTTCTTATCGATTTTTTTTTATTATTGTTATTGCCGGGAATTACAAAATCCATTTGAAAAAATAAATCATCCGTCGAAATAAGTTATGAATACGATACATACATGTAATCGTAATTGTAGAGATGTGTAGAAAGCGTCGTTTTTTTGTTTTAAACAGTAATGTGAGAATCACATGTGGTTTCTGTCTAATTGCAGGATCACATATACGACAATGGACGATATTGCTCATAAAACCCGCTCGTGAGGTAAGACATTATTTTGAATACTTTGCAAGTAACATTCATTCTTCTTTTGTTTGAGCCGGGAATATGACTGCAAGACTTAATTCATATTGGGTAGGGAAAGAAATAAATTATGATGGCCTCTCTATTATGTTCAATTGAAAAGTAAGAGAGATAAAAAATGTCCTAAAGGTGCTTTTTCTCAGTCCGTCAGATCGATGAGCATTTTCGATTGTTGTGAAGATGTGTAAAGATTACGCAGGGAAGCGGTGTAATTAATATAAGCAAACTGAAAACATCACATTTATTTACACAGCATATGCTGATATGATCAAAGGATATGAGCG